CTTCGACAATATCCTCATTCGCGCAATCGAAGTCTTCGACGATGGCACAGCAACCGGTGTGGTGATCTTACCTTCCCCGTCAGGCCCTTTCTTATGCCTACCCCTGGGCCCGTTGTCGTGTTCCCTCTCTCTTCTCGTAATCTCTGCGTGGGGACCCCGGCCGTGCTCGTAGATTTTGTGCAGAGAACGCCAACCCCGCCCTCTAAAACTGCGTGTATGTCCTGCTAATCATGTCCCGCTCTCGACCGTTTGCTTGCAGCGAGCAACACGGAGAGCTTTCTCGTGCTATCTGGCATGCGCTCGTTCACTGTTCCGGAAGCATTTGACAGCTCCACTGTCAGCGCAGTCGTGAAGAAGACCCAGGTGGTGACTCTAAGCATCGCCAGCCCACCACAGGGTTACACAACAAACTCCGTCAACCTCACCGTGCACGCAGGTGTGCTCCCGATTCTGCCCCCGGTTCTGCTCTGCCGCCGCTGCCGCTACTTTGCTGCTTGCGCGCTGCCTGGTTCAAGTTCTACCACATTTGTTGAAACGACACAAGCGATGAAGCGCAGTCATAGCCCAGCACTTCGTGGTGCCCCTTCTCTCCCTTCCAGTCACTCATGTTTATCATGCAACCATCCACTTGTTCGCCACGTGATATGTGATATGTGATGTTATTACGCTGCCTCAGGCCCCATCGACTCCATCGAGGTCTCGTACAACACGACGACTGCCGCTGCAGGGGAGGTCAGTGCTTCAGTGACAGTGACATCACCACTACTTTGAATTACTTCATCTGCTGCTTGCCCCACACTATCTTCTTGGTGCCGTCATGTGACAGTGGCTCTAATGTTTGTAGTGGTGATTTCGGTCGTACCGCAGTCATTCGTGCAGACACCCACGGGCATCGTGCTGTTGCTGGCTGCCTTGTGTGCGCCTGCTTCACTGCCTCCTAGTTCTAACACCCTTGCGCTGTTCACTCATCAACCCGTGCCTGCCAGACAATTGGCGTGAGCCTGGCTGCATACGACCAGTACAGCAACCTACTTGACAGCGGTCCAAACGTTTATGACGACACCATCACCGTCGCTGTTCAGGGCACCGCCACAGCACCAGCCTCCTTTGAGTGCGTGCGTGCGTGCGTGCGTGCGTGCGTGTTTGTGTGCGCGTGCGTTTACACTCACGATGCTTGCATGCGCTATGCCTGCCAGCTTCTTGCCGTTTCCCCCATTTCTTTCTTTCTTCTTTGGCCCTCTCTTGCCCGCTGATTTTTGAAACCCTTCGCGCCAACAAATCCAGGGTTGCAAACGGCGTCGGATCCACCGTCATCACGAGCACGGTTGCAGGCGTCTCGATTGTCACGTTGTCCGGGTTTCCTCAAGTCGTCGTCATTGGTGCGTGATCATAGCGAGCTACCCACGTGCCAAGACCAGCGCGTACAAGCGGTTGCACAGCATGCACACCAAGCAGCTATGACCTTTGTCGTGGTAGCTTAAGGACGCACGTATACTCCTGCACACTACATCCATACACCCACCCACTCACATACGCACACACACCCACACCCACACA